ATATTACCGCAGAAAATCATCTGGATTCCTGAGAAATTCTATTACTTTCAATAAACAAAATCATTATCATAAATAAATTTAATTAATATCCCGTAACGGTAAGAAAAAAATCAGAACTAAATCTAGTAATTGGCTTCTGACCGACTTGTATCCCTAGTTAGCTATAAAGATAAATAAATCTCTGTTACTTTCTTACCATTATTTATCATTTTTAAACCAGATATCAGTAAAACGTAAACACCTTTCAGGAAGCTTGGATTTACTTTATGCATCTGAGGAAGGTAATGTTCGACATATACTCTCAGAAGGAATATCTGTAGATAGTGTATCATACAAACCACAATCAAAACGACCCGCTCCTGAAACGACTGACGAGACACAGAGTAATTTTACCAATAACAATTGTCAGACTCCTATTGGCAGTGAGGTTGGTGTCATCAATATATTTAATTTATTTGACTTAAAACTAACTTATTGGATAGTCTGGACCTGCTTATACGAGTTATGATGATGAATATGATGAATCTGATGAATCTGATGTGGAGTGCGAATTAAGACTAAACGTAGACGAAATCGGATTCGACGAATATATTGATCAAGGAAATAAAGATGTAAGTTTATTTTTTTTGCTTTTTTTAACAATCAACTGCAAATATTTTCTTTAAATAATGGCCGTTTGATAGTTTATTTTCGAAAAAAAGAACATATCGTCATTATTTGAATTATATCGATCCAAAGCATCAGCTCTCGCACAAACCTCTGGTTTAAAGGTAACGGAAAATTATCACGAAATATTGTAAGTAGGACTTCTAAATAGGATACATTTTCTGAAAAAATAACTTTATTGATAAAAGATATCTCTTTTGAAAATTTAGGAGTCTTTCTCATATTCTTTTATTACGAACGGATAACTACTCAGAAATGCAAGTGAAAATATTTTCACGGGACACACTTGAGAGCTTGAGAAAGTACGTTAAATCAAAATTTGTTGGGAAAGAAAAGGTGTCAAGGAACATAAAATCTATCCTGCAAGAATATATTGAGGTATGTATTTTTCTCAATTATATTATTACTCTTTCTCTGTATTTTCTTAATTGTTATCTTGCTTTAGATTGCTCTTGACGATGATGATGGTGGATTATATAAACTCCGCGAGACAATTGTAAGCTCCTTTTCGAAAACATTTGATTCGGCAATAAAGATGGAATTTTTTCGACGAATGCAGTTTATGTTTCAACATTTGTAAGTTTATTCTCTTTTTCTTCTATTCTAACATATTTATGAATTTACTGGCACGGCTAAAAAATTTATGGTAGCATGCCACTAAACCACGTGATAAAATAAATAATTTTGATTGGTCAGTTATATACGTGCGGTTTTGTACCTTTTGGAAATTTCGAAACTTTGCTCCAATTTTTCTTTCAAACTTTGATTTTCTACTCAGAATATTTCGGAACTATAAGAAATAACATGTCTATTGATTATTTATGTGCCACTCACCCTAATTGACTGTATTAATAAGATTTTTCTGATAATTGCTTTGTAGGTCTTACACTATCCCAATAAATTCATTAAGGGAAA